ACCCCAGAAAGATCTCGGAACGGAGAGCGGGGGCTCGAGCTTTGCTCATCCGGTGTGTCAACAATTCCCAAGCTTCAACGCTTTGATGTTTTCCAGGCAAAAAGACCTCGACCACGCCCACGCCAAAAACCGTGATGAGCAGACGGACGGAGCCACTAAGCCCAGACAGTGTCATCCACTCTGTCGGTGATGGCGTCATTAACGCATATTCCGGACTGCCTTTCGGGCACAACCAGACACCCGGATCTGGGATGTCGGATCTGGGATCCGGGATCCGAGGTTCGAGGTTCGAGGCTCGCTCCTTTTCCGGCTTTTGAAGTTCGGGCGGCAAGCTTTTAATTTTCTTTGTTTTCACACTGACGTTTGAGGCCAAAAGGCGTAAATTAATCGAAGGCTTAATTAGCACACACCAGCCAAGGACTCCCGACGAGGGCTCGTTGAGCCGGCGTCAACGTGGCGTATGATTAATAAACAGCTCCCTGGCGGATAAATTCCCCTCGCTGCCATTCGCCATTCGCCATTCACCATCCACCCGATTTATGTTGTTGTGTGCACTAATTATAGGCATCAATGAAGGTGAAGGTTGTCAATATCGCCGCACAGCCCAGCACACAGGAGGGAGCAAAATTTCCATTTGAAATGTTTTGTAGGTTGCGAAAACAATGGCCTGCCTCCGACGAGGTAATCCTACAGCACCACCCACTCCGCGTCCACTTTGCTTTTCTGTTTTTTTTAGCACGAGTACTGCGGCAACGTAGTTGGCTGCCACTTAATGTGTTTTGCATACTAATTAGGTTGTTTGGCGGCTGCCGTCACATTTCAAGTGTTGAAACAGGTGACAGAAAAAAACACAAAAACGACATTAAGACCAGCAGCGAAACGCAACTCGTTGCTGCAACAGAGCCAGCTGCACTTGAAGCTAACACTTTTGAGCTGCAGCCAAGGAAAATGGCAATTGTTTAGATTAGGCTGAGTAGTTGGGGAATGCGCTACATGGTAGCAAAGTAGCATTACTCTAGAAAGGTAATTTCAAATTATTGTGATTAAGACTTTTGACTTAATAGCTGCTAAGACCCATTTTCAGTTAATGAGCACAATGTATTTAACGACATTAAGGATAAGTACAAAAGCACTTAACAACTAAACAAACCAATGTCCTAAAAGTTGCATACTTCTGGTTTACATTTAACTAAGCTTTTTTCGAATTTTTCTGAAGATTGATGATGTCTTTCTCAGTACGCACATATAAAAGGTAATCGCCAAGTGTTACTTCAGGCGTTTCCGCTACACTATCAGTTTATTCAACACTTTAATTACAAAATAATACTATTTAAGGGTGTCATTACAGTTAATCAAAGTGTCGAGGCTATCAATTTCTTACACTTAGCTTTCTTTGCGTTTTGATTACCAACTTGATAAGGCAAAACGAAATGTAGATTATGCTTTCAAGAAGCTAAAAAACCGGCATAGATTAGATGCCTGATAGCAATAAGAATTTAAATAATGTGAGCTTGATGGAAAAAATACATTACTTAAGTGCCAAAGTAGCAGTTCTACAAGTCCGACATGCCGCAACCTAGGCTCACCTGGAATCTGTGCTTTTTAATTGGAAAGGCAGAAGGTTTTCCATGAAAGTGCAACACTGATTTGTAAGAAGCGCGTTACTTAAAAACAACTAGAACATAAACAGCAGAAGAGAGGAGACGCAAAGTGAAAAATGTTTTAATTACTCATCTCAAGGCGAACGCGCAAACCCTTTCCCCTGATGATTGACGTTTTGAGGGGCTGTGGGGAGGTACAACGATGAAAGTAAATCCATTAAATTAAATAAGTTTGTAAAATGTCATTTGCATTTTAGAGATGGCAAATGGGCAATTAAGCGCCATTTGGCTGCACAAAAAATAAATAATATTTAAAATGAAAGTAAAGTAAAAGGGTATATACGATTACCTGTTACCTGTTACATACAGGTAGAAGAAAGCGTATAAATATTCTTGATGAGGAGGACTAGCCGAGGCGATCTAGGCATGTCCGCCTGACTATCTGTCCGACACACTGTCTAGCTCTCACATTTTTGATTTTGATTTGACTATCAATATCCATCTTCAATCGGACCATCCATTAAAAAGTTATAATCAAATAAAAGAAGGTGTGTAATCTTGGGAACAATCGCTTTGCTGCTTGCACGTCTCCATCTCCCACGCATAGATAGCGTTCTATATTTATTTTAGTCATTGTTGGTTAAACTTTAAACATTTTTTGAAGATTTTTGGCAATATTTATTTTTGAGCTGCAATTTCGAGATTAGCTTCAGTAGAATCGGCTAAGTTCTTTTAGCAATTATTGCTGGATCACTCGAATGCCTCAATTCAGCCATTTTCTCCCCGGTTGCCGCTGTTGTGTGCTAAATAGTTCCCCCAGGGCCGAATCCACTCGAGATGTGCTAATGAGAACACCCCAGTGACAAGGAGACGCCCACAAGGACGAGCGAGTTCAGACGCCAAAGGATGGTTTTAATGCATCGTGCTGCATTATGCAAATACTCGAGCAGGGCGAAACAATATTTTACTGCAGTGCCGGAGTGGAGTGGAGTGGATCCTGTCGAGAACGGAATAAGGAGGTGTGCAGATCCTTAGCCAGGACCTGCGGCAATGCAGCGCGCTCCATTTGCACACATTTCGACAAGGCAATTAATTATGCTAAATTCGTTTAGAGAAACAGCAACATAAAAATGAAATAACACCGTTTGCATTGTTCTATTCTCCGTTTGCCTTCTTCAAAAGTGTATCCCTACAGCCAAAGGAAACAACTTTATGTATTTGAAAAATCGAAATATATAACAAATATAAAAACGAGACCGAAATTTTTCAAAAATCATAAGCCCATTAATCTTTTTTGCATCAGTTTATTGCTCGAAGAGCTCCAGAATTCAGCCCTCGAATTTAACGTGGCGGCCGGAACCACCTTTGACCAACGCACTGGATGACTTTTAAGTGGGTCTGAGGCGGAGGTCTGCGAACGGAACAGGGAGGTCCTGACATTTGCGCTGGCCATGCGCAATTAATTACAAAAGTGTTTGCGGACAAATGCCGCTCAGCTAGAAGTGTGAGGGTGCACGGGTGGTTCGTGTCCTACGAACCCCAGCTGGACATGGCCATGAGGAAATCCAGCACTTCTTTTTGCCAGCTAGCCAGCGTTTTGTGGCTCAAGTGGTCCAGAGACCGAGAGAAGCGGCAGCTCTTTGCTTTGAGGTTATTTGCTTTTAATGACTCGCAAACTACACCCGCACACATGGCGTATGCGTCATGTGTGTGGACTGCTTAAGTGTTTTCAGATATCGCGCATCAGTAGCCAACGACAGCCAGCCCTGGGTGCCATGGTTTGTTGACTTTTAGACGCTGTTTGTTTGTCAGCACAATTTTGTTTTCATGTTTTTTTTCTGTTTTTTGTACTTTTTGGCTTTTCATCTTGGCATCGGCGCAGACAAGCGGCCCCATAAATGGGCTTTGAAGTTTGCATACCGAGTGCAGGCAGTGCAGTCCCACTGGCTGAAGGGATAATGCGACGCAATTATAGACTGAGCCTGGGTCCACCCCAACCCGGCTGTATCCTTGAAAATAAATTGTTTTGTTAATTATTTATGGTTGGTTTAATGAGTGTGTGCCGTAGTCTGTGTGTTTACTGTACTCACTGTTCACTGCTCTCTGGCGGTCTGGTTCTGGTCTCTCCGCCTGGGACGTCGACTTCCATGAGTTTGTTATACTTTTGCATTTCGCAATTATTTTAATGAGTTTTGCATTTAAGCGATTGTGCAATCATCGTCATTTGCAATAGTGGGATATGTGCATAAATACGAATGTGCAGTATAATTGCCGTTTTTGCTTCATTAAAAAATATGTCTTTATATCGTCGGCAGACTCATTAAAAGTTGAATAATTTTTATCTCATTGAGTTCGTCCAGGTCTTTCATTTCTGCATTTGGTTTGAATTGATCAACGATAAATAAAGCTCCTATTTTTTTTAAATATATAAATATAATTGTAAACTTCACAACACGGGTCAGGACAGGGCAGATTTTAGTTTCATTTCATTTCCATTTTCGGGTGTCAGCAAAGGTGTTTAACACAAAATCCGCAGTTCGTAAGAAATGAAATTATGATTCTGTCCTCGAGAGGGTCAGTTCTCCAAGTCCTGAACGGAAAGCTTGTAGCACCTAAAACCGGTGATCATAAGCTGTTGTTTCTTTTTGACAATGATATAAAACAAATATTTGCGTTCAGTCTATCATAGAATGCCCATTTTGTTATATTTCAGTGCTTGATAGGCTGAATAGGAATAGGACAACAGTTCCCAAGACAACGGATAAATTAATTTGTGTGATTTCTCAGGTAAATAAAGAAGAATTAGTAATTGGCCGTTGTAAAATGTGTGACACTTTCAGAAATCAAAAACTGTAATCTTAAATAGTGGCGATGAACGAGTTTATATGGGCAATTATGATAACGAATTCATAACATTTTCATGTGGTCCCAATACTCAAAACACTTCCCGAAAGGTAATCAAGCACTCATGATTCCCTGAAGGGCTAATAAAAATGCTAAAATATAATTTTCGCCTCCATAGTGTTACCGCCCCGTTAGGGGTCTCAATTTCCCTAATCTGCATAAAAAAATAGCAAACTTCACCTTAGTACAAATTCATAAAAATGGTATAAGAAGTACCGGGGCGTAATCATCAATGGGAACTCATTTTACTAATCGCATGGAAGCGATTAGAACCAATTAAGATATACATTGCTGGCGATCGCGAATACACTGAACTTGAACTTCGTAGTTAGAGTATCAGCATTTCCCTAAGCTTTCGGTTATCGTTAAACCGTTTTATTGGCCCTAAGCCTAAGCACAAGCCTTTTGAGGGTCCAAAGTGATTGCTTATCAGGGTGAACCCGTGTGGGGTTTCCTATAAAAGCAGCTCAAATTTTCTGAAAAAGTCAGTTCTAAAATAAATTGAAAGGTCGTCGCCATGAAATATTTGTGCGGTATTGTGCTCTTTGCCGCTCTTTTGGCCCTAAGTGTGAGGCCTTCTGAGGAGGCTTGTGGATACGAGGTGAAAAGCGAGAACCAGAATGGGAATAGGAGAATATTTAGAAACTGAAAATTAAGTGAAATCCGCGAAAGTGATTTTAAGAAATAAATACGGTGGACAATTTGTCGACTCTATAACTTTTAAAATATAATTAAGAATTATAAGAAAATTGTAAAGTTCAAGATTCGTGATACGGTCGATCTGATGCATTTTAATTTCGAAACATGTCCATAAACTCGTTACAGGCATGCCCCAAAACGAAGACGAACATGATCAATATTCACATGGTTCCCCACTCTCATGACGATGTCGGCTGGCTGAAGACCGTTGATCAGTACTTCTATGGCCACAGGAGCAACATTCAGCACGCTGGAGTCCAGTACATCATCGACACCGTGATCGCTGAGCTCATCAAGGATCCTTCCCGCCGCTTCATCCAGGTGGAGACCTCTTTCTTTGCCAAATGGTGGTCGGAGCAATCCGAGACTGCGAAGCAGATCGTGAAGAAACTGGTCAACGAAGGTCGCCTGGAGTTCACGGGAGGAGCTTGGAGTATGAACGATGAGGCTGCCGTTAACTACCAAAGTGTGATCGATCAGTTCACCCTGGGATTGAAGTAAGTGCAAGAAAGGATTGAAACAGAGGGTCGGCATCTTAATGGTTCAAATTGCTATAACCAGGTTCTTGGACGACACTTTCGGCTCCTGCGCTCGTCCTCGCATTGGCTGGCAGATCGATCCCTTCGGTCATTCCCGTGAGCAGGCTTCGATCTTCGCTCAGATGGGTTATGATGGAGAGTTCTTTGCCCGCATGGATCACCGCGACAAGAACAACCGCATCGACAACTTAGGTATGGAAATGATCTGGGACGCCAGTGATTCGCTGAGCAACGATGAAATCTTCACTGGCCTGCTGTACCGCCACTACTCGGCTCCCCCCGGCTACTGCTTCGACGTCCACTGCGGTGACGATCCGATCATTGACACTAAGAGCTACGACAACAATGTCAAGTCCAGGGTCGATGACTTCCTCAGCTACGTGACGGAGGTGGCCAAGCACTTCCGATCCAACCACATCATGATCCCCATGGGTGATGATTTCCAGTACGAAGATGCTCAGGTTAACTTCAAGAACATGGACAAGCTGATCAAGTAATTACTCATGCCTGATAAGTGATGATCGATACTCACTATTTTGAATGTTCCCAGGTACGTTAACGAGCGTCAGGCCGAGGGCTCCACCTTCAACCTGTTTTACTCTACCCCCGCCTGCTACCTGAACTCTGTGCATGAAGGTCTTCAAACCTGGCCCAACAAGACCGAGGACTTTTTCCCCTATGGCAGCGATGACAACAGCTACTGGACCGGCTACTTCACCTCCCGTCCCACCCAGAAGCGTTTTGAGCGCGATGGCAACCACATCCTGCAGGTGGCCAAGCAATTAAGTGTCTTCGCCGGTCTGACCAGCCAGCAGCAGAAGGAAGATCTGGAGTACCTTCGCGAGATTATGGGTGTGATGCAGCACCACGACGCCATTACGGGCACTGAGAAGCAGCATGTCTCCGATGACTACGATCGGATTTTGTACGACGCCATCCTAGGTGGTGTTAACACAGCCCGCGATGGTCTGCGCAAGCTGACCAATCTGCCCAACGGAGAGTTCGAGAGCTGCCTGCAGTTGAACATCAGCGAGTGCGCCTTCACCAAGGACGATGCTGATAACGTGGTGGTGACCGTGTACAACCCCCTGACCCACACTTCCACCCAGTATGTGCGAGTCCCAGTCAAGAACGAGAACTACCAGGTTACCGACGAGAAGGGTCGCGTGGTAGCTTCTGAAGTGGTCCCAGTGCCCTGGCAGGTCCTGGCCCTGGAGTTCCGCAGCAACGACACTCAGCATGAGCTGGTCTTCAAGGCTTCCGTCGACAAGATCGCTAACTATTACATCAAGAAGGTTGTTGATCAGGAGAGCCAGACCGTCGCTGTGCACACCAAGTCAAAGAGGTCTGTCAAGGTTGAAGAATCTAACTTGGAGTTGCCCAAGCGATTCAAGAAGGTTCATTCCATGAAGAACGCTACTCAGACCTTCGACGACGAGGAAGGAGAGACTGTGGTGCAGACTTCGGTAAGCTGTCGGGAACCACTTAAGTGAGGGAACTACCTTAACTAACACATTAATATTTACCTTTGCTAGGAAGTCAAACTGGTGATCGACAACAAAACTGGTCTCCTAAAGACGGTCGAAATGAACGGAGTCTCCGAGAACATCGATCAGAGTTATGGTGTTTATAGGACCTACGACTCCGGTGCCTACGTCTTCCGTCAATACCACCAGGCTGACTTTATTGTACAGTATGAAGGTGTTGAGTTCACCGTTTACGATGGAGCTTTGGTCAAGGAAGTCCACCAGCAGTTCAGCGAATACGTCTCCCAGGTCATTCGCATCTACGAGGGCGAGCCCATTGTGGAGATCGAGTGGCTGGTTGGGCCCATTGAGAGTGAAGAGGAATTCGGCCGGGAAGTGGTTATCATCTTCAACAGTACCATTGCCTCGAATGGCGTTTCCTATACCGACTCCAATGGCCGCGAGATGATCAAGCGTGTAAAGGACCAGCGGGAGGACTTTACTCCCGGTCTGGATAGGCAGCCAACTGCAGCGAACTACTATCCCGTCACATCCCGAATTGCCCTGCAGGACAGTAAGAAGCGTATTGCCCTCCTCAACGATCGTGCTCAGGGAGGAGCCAGCATGATCAACGGACAGTTGGAACTTATGTTGCACCGTCGTCTGGTACGCGACGACGGCTACGGTGTTGGTGAGGCCTTGGACGAGGAGAAGTTCGGCCAGCCCATGATTGCCCGTGGTAAGGTCTACCTGATTCTCAACGCTGCCGATGAGTCCACTGCCGTGGAGCGCGAAGCCGAAAAGAAAATTCACCTGCCCTTCTGGAAGTTCTTCAGCAAGAACACCGGAAGCGCCATCGCTGCTGCCAAATCAATTCCCAGCTTCGATGACTTCCCCAAATCGGTGCACTTGCTCACCCTGGAGCCTTTCAACGACGACGAGGTTCTGCTTCGCGTGGAGAACTTCCTGGATCACACCGAGGGCCAAGTGGTTAGCTTCAACATTCGGCCGATCTTTGACTATTTGAACGGATTAGAAATTCGCGAAACAACCTTGGACGGAAACTTGCCTTTGAAGGATATGAAGCGCTTCAAGTTCCACCACGATAGCTCAGGACACAAGCCCGAAGAAGTCGAGTACTATACTACTGCCCACAAGCCTTTGGCTGCTGAGAAATCTCAGGAAGCCGCCGACTTCAGCGTTACACTTCAACCAATGCAGATCCGTACATTCATTATCAAGACGGAGTAAACTGCAATTCTCAACACAGTATTAAATGAAATGTAATTATTAAATTAAATATATTCAATGTTAAAAATTTGTTTCGCTTATTTTTTGGAAATATTATAGCTAAGCAAAAACACCTCCTAAAGAGTAAAAAACGGTGCGATCGTCCCTAGTTTTTTACCTCGCTAAGAGGTATTTTGGTTAGAAGTTTTTGAAGTGTCAATGGCCGCGTTCAGTAGAACAACATGATTACGGATCCATCAGTAATCAGTGTTAAAGTTTGTTCTGCTGATCGCTTATGATACATAACGACGAGAAATGGTAAAACATTTTACATGAAAAGCTCCACTATGCATTTCAAATGTCATTTTAAATTGGTCCTAGTGTAATGTTTTGACAATCAGTTTATAAACAAATGTTTTTTAATTGAAATTGCTTTTGCAAAATCGACATCGGTTGACACCGCAACTGAAGCGCACAGCAATTGTGGACACGTAAAAATCAAAAAGGCCTGAACAGTTGTAAAGAATTTAACTTACTTAATGGTTTTTTAATAATAATTAATTTAATTCTTATCATCAAGAGGCCTGAACAGTTGTAAAGAATTTAACTTACTTCACGGTTTATTAAAAATAATTAATTTAGTTCTTATCGATATTTCTCTCATGGATACAAACCAGCACCAATGTACCACGTATCACGAAAAGGTAGCGTACTTTTTTACGCTCCTTTTTTACTGATCATGATGCAAGCATATTTGCAAAGACTTTTTATAAAAGTCTTAGAATTAAGGTTTCTTATACCATTTAAATGTTTCCGGGACCACGACCAATGCACAGGCAGCGTTAGTTGACCTGCACTTTAAAACGTCCCATTTTACAACAATGTGTTATATTTAAAAAGCTGAGGTCTATACAGTTTTAATTTTAAAAGGAAATCGTAAGAGCCGTTTTTAAGCAAAAACCCGTTACTCAGCTAAAGGGACCAAAGGGAGATGGAGACATGCAATCAGCAAAGCGGGATTGTAATGCGACATCTACCCGCGAACTCAATATATGATTATGTGGGCGGCAGACAGATCTAAGCGTTATAAGCGTTACGGACAATAAATCTGAAGTCCCAATCTTTGATAGTTTCCGAGATATCCGCTATCATATTTTCGATTTTTTTAAGTTTGTAGGCGTTAAAGTGGGCGTGGCTAACTTTTTTTTGGGTCAATCGATAGGTAAGGATAATGTATTCTAGCATTACAACTGTAGGAGCCACTGTTGAGGGCGGTATGTGGGCGTAAGAGCGGACAGACTGACAGACGGACAGACCGACATGGCTAGATCGACTCGGCTAGTGATCCTGATCAAAAATATATATCACTGTGGACGGCAGTACACGTAGTGGCGAAGCGCGCAAGAGAGCGTGCGAAGACAACTACTATATATAGCCGCAGAATTGAAAATCTGCCATTATGGTCCGATCGTAACAACTGATTCAACAATCGAAAGGTATCGCACTAACTAAGAAACTTGCATACCAAGACTTTCGAAATATAGATTTGTTTGGGAGAAAAAGCGGTGAAAGTGTAAAAGTAAAAATTTAGAAAATTGGAGCTGCTGGATACGGTGGGAATAAAAGCCCCCGGCTGTTTAGCTAGTTTTATTCTTACTGAGAATACGCGTCGAATGACACCTCATTTGTTGAAATCCGATATCCCGTTCAAAAGAAATTCAAAAACCAAGATTTTCTTCTTCCCAAAATGAGAATGTTTGTCCCTTTGTTTGTGGGTTTTTATGCATCCCATCTTAGCTTTAGGGTTTTGGAAACCCTATGGGTGTATAAAGTAGGTTGAATTAGAAAACGTTTGTTCTACGACTTTTGGAAAAACCCGCTAGTTTAGCGGAATATCAAAAAAAAAAGCCAGATTTAAAATGCTTATAGTATCTTATAGTATGTGTTATTTACTGTTGGGGGCCGAAATCATAAATTTAATATAGTTTATTTATTTTATCGAATGTAATATCATTTTTCGTCACAATTGTTGGTATCAGAAATTTTTGTTAAAGGCGCGTTTGCCGCTACTTTTTACCTCGGTAAGAGGTGTTTTTGCTTGAAACTTTATAGGGTCGAAAACGTTTCTTTCTAATTGATACATAATTTCCGACGAATCTAGAAACAAGAAAAAACGCTATAGTCAATGGACGGGATTTAGTTTTATGGCCGTTTGTGGGCGTTAGCTGAAATGCCAAGTCCCAAGATTATAGTTCTTATAGTTTCCGAGATCTCAGCGTTCATACGGACACATGGACAGTCGTACAGACGGACATGTGGACAGGGGTAAATCGACTCAGCTAGTGATGCTGATCAAGAATATATATACTTTATGTGGAATACTTTTTACTTTTTTTACAATATGCAAAAGAGATAACGCTATAGTCGAGTGTCTCGCTAAAGTCAAGTGACAATCGTAAACTTGCGCTGCGCAAAAATCTCAGGAATCTACATGCTTAATCCCAACTTTCTAGCATTTATAGTTTCCGATGATATTGGGTGGATTGTGGGCCTTTGAGTGGGCGTGGCCCCTTGACGAAACAAACTTGCGCTGCGCAGGAATCTCTTGAATCTCCATGCCTAATCCCAGTATTGCAGCTTTTATAGTTACCCTTTTACTAACCGTGTAACCGGTATTACTACTATCGCCATTTTGGTTTTTTAAAGCGAGTAATATATTTTCAAATATAATTAATTTTATTTGAATATTTCAATATTTGCCAGCATGTTTAAATATGATTTCTATTAAAATTAACGATTTATTTATTAGGGTTGACTCTGAGACTGAGTCCAGCTCTTACAGTTCTTTTGACTCGATTGCTTCAAAGAAAATTTACAATTGGTGTCAAGCAGATCTAGGTCGTTATAAGAGCTTTGTCGGTTGCAGATTAATCTATCCTTAGCCTTGGTACCTTACTGTATCTTATCACTTGCTCTTTGCTTGGGGCTTTCAATTTCCAATTTAGACGTTATCAATATACTTTCGTGGCCTGTATTACTTCATGATAACTTCCAGTACAAATCCATAAACAGTGTTAGTATGCAATCAATCATTAACAAAAAGGGAAGCCACCTTTGACAAGGCCGATGATTGTATACCCTTACAGCTAAAACCATTTTATGGAATTAAATTCATGCTACAGAGGCAGTACTAACCGTGTAAATGCCCGTTAATCGTAGATTAAGAGGGTATACTTTATGTGTCTAAGAATATATATATTTTTGAAAGGGTTTAATTAGTCTTCACTAAGTCTTAAACTTTTGACTGAAATTATAATACCCTCTGCAAGCTTATAAAGATTGTTTGACTAATCCGCTGATAAGCACTGCAATCTGTCAAAACAGAAGCAACTATTTATAGAGGCTTGTTAAGATAAACGCTAAACACCAACAATATCAATTTAATTGTAAGTAAAATACGTGCTCTTAAGCGTAATCGTCATTAATTAATTATCGTTGGAGTATACCTAATTGATTTCTAAGCATGCTTGACTTAGCATAATACAAGATAAGCTCAAGTACCGGTTACCTGATATAAATGGGCCAGTTTACGAAAACAAAGAAGTCAGTTGTGTGCCTGCATTGGGAGCATTTGTTATATCCGCGTGAAAGGTTTAGGAAATTCACAATGAAGTATTTAAGACTCGTTCTTTGCTTGGCCTTATTGGCAATCAAATCAAAGTCAGCCCAAGCGGTTTGCGGCTACGAGGTAAGGTGGCATAGGGCTCTAGGACATTTTATGATTTATTCTCACAATGGAACTGAAGTAACAGAATAAATATCGGTTTGCAGTCATGTCATGAAACCAAGTCAAACATGGTCAACATACACTTGGTGCCCCATTCCCACGACGATGTGGGATGGCTTAAGACGGTTGATCAATACTTCTATGGCCACAAGAACAACATACAGCATGCTGGAGTCCAGTACATTATCGACACCGTGATCTCTGAGTTGATCAAGAACCCCGATCGTCGCTTCATCCAGGTTGAGACCTCCTTCTTCTCCAAATGGTGGGACGAGCAGTCGGAGACCGTCAGGGCAATTGTGAAAAAGCTGGTCAACGAGGGTCGCCTGCAGTTCACCAACGGAGCCTGGAGCATGAACGATGAGGCTGCCGTGAACTACCAGAGTGTGATCGATCAGTTTACAGTTGGTTTGAAGTAAGTAGAGGTGGTTCCTTGTGTTCCATTTTAACAATACCATTTGAAAAAAGGTTCCTGGATGACACCTTTGGGATATGTGGTCGTCCTCGGGTTGGCTGGCAAATCGATCCCTTTGGCCACTCCAGAGAACAAGCATCACTGTACGCCCAGATGGGATACGATGGCGAGTTCTTTTCACGCATGGATCACAACGACAAGGGCAGACGAATGAATGATCTTGCTCTAGAGATGGTTTGGGATGCCAGTGAGTCACTTAGCGATGTCAAGCTTTTCACTGGTCTCCTGTACACCTTCTACTGGGACACTCCCGGATTTTGTTTCGACGTTCACTGCAACGACGACCCAATTATTGACAGTGATAGCTACGATAACAATGGCAAGTCGAGGGTGGACGACTTTATTTCCTACGCCGCTCAAGTGGCTGAAAAGTTCCGTACAAACCACATCATGATTCCCATGGGAGGTGACTTCCAGTACGAAGATGCTGAGGTTAACTTTAAGAACATGGACAAACTGATCAAGTAAGAAGGAAATTGGGTTCTTTATTACCAATATATTTAAAGTCTTGTAATTCAATTATTAGGTACATCAACGAACGTCAGTCCAGTGGCTCAAAATACAACATAATCTACTCAACTCCCGGCTGCTACTTAAACTCTGTGCACAAGAGTGTGCAATCCTATCCAAACAAAACCCTGGACTTCTTCCCCTATGGAAGTGATACCAACAGTTTTTGGACTGGCTACTATACCTCTCGTCCCACGCAAAAGCGTTTCGAGCGCGATGGCAACCACATACTTCAGGTGGCCAAGCAGCTGAGCGCCTTCGCTGAGCTTTCGAGTGCCCAGCAGAAGGAGGATCTTGAGTACCTCCGACAGATAATGGGAGTAATGCAACATCACGATGCCATCACAGGCACTGAGAAGCAGCATGTGTCCGATGACTACGATCGGCTTTTGTACGATGCTATCGTTGGTGGTGTTAACACTGCCCGCGATGGTCTGCGCAAGCTGACCAATCTGCCCAACGGAGAATTCGAGAGCTGCCTGCAGTTGAACATCAGCGAGTGCGCCTTCACCAAGGACGGTGCTGATAACGTGGTAGTGACCGTGTACAACCCCCTGGCCCACACTTCCACCCAGTATGTGCGAGTGCCAGTCAAGAACGAGAACTACCAGGTTACCGATGAGAAGGGTCGCGTGGTAGCTTCTGAAGTGGTCCCAGTGCCCTGGCAGGTCCTGGCCCTGGAGTTCCGCAGCAACGATACTCAGCATGAGCTGGTCTTCAAGGCATCCGTCAACAAGATCGCTAGTTACTACATCAAGGAGGTTGACTGGAAGGAGAGCACTGATAACGATCTGACCACTCTTCACAAGAAGACTATTGCTGAAACCTACGATGACGAAGAGACTATTGTGCAGACATCGGTAAGTCCCCAATACATGTCGGAAGAAAGCACTCACTTAACTGCCTAACGTTCTCCTTTAGCTTATTAAATTGGTGCTCGACAACAAAACTGGCCTATTAAAGAGGGTTGAAATGAACGGAGTATCCGAGAACATCAGTCAAAGTTATGGTGTTTATAGGACATATGACTCCGGTGCCTACGTCTTCCGTCAGTATAATCAAGGAGACTTTGTCATCCAAGAAGATGGAGTCGAGTTTACAGTCTACGATGGAGCTTTAGTCAAGGAAGTCCACCAACATTTCAACGACTATATCTCGCAGGTCATCCGTATTTATGAGACCAAAAATGTGGTGGAGTTCGAGTGGCTGGTTGGCCCCGTTCCAGTTGAGCAAGACTTCGGTACGGAAGTTGTTACTACATTCAGCAGTGAGATCGCTTCCAATGGTGTATTTTACACTGATTCCAATGGTCGGGAGTTGATTAGACGAGAAAAGGACAAGCGAGAGGACTTTGACCCCGAACTTGCAGTGCAGCCTACATCCGGAAACTATTATCCGATCACATCCCGCATTGCTCTGCAAGACACCAACAAGCGCATCGCCGTCCTAAACGATCGTGCTCAGGGAGGATCTAGCATGAAGGATGGGCAAATAGAACTTATGTTGCACCGACGTCTTGTCCGCGATGATGGATACGGAGTTGATGAGACCTTGAACGAGCAGAAGTTTGGCCAGCCCTTGATTGCTCGTGGTAAGGTCTTTCTAATCCTCAACGCTGCGGATGAGTCCACATCCGTGGAGCGCGAGGCCGAGAAGGAGATCCACCTGCCTCTTTGGAAGTTCTTCAGCCAGAACAGTGAAAGCAGTAGCTCCGTTGCCAAGTCTGCTCCCAGCTTTGACGACTTCCCCCAGTCGGTGCATCTTCTCACCCTGGAGCCTTTTAACGATGATGAGGTTCTGATGCGTGTGGAGAACTTTAAGGATCACATCGAAGGCAAGGTGGTCAGCTTCAACATTCGCCCAATCTTCGATTATTTAAACGGAGTAGAAATTCGCGAAACCACCTTGGACGGAAATCTGCCACTGAGCGACTTGAAGCGATTCAAGTTTCACGCTGAGGGTTCTGGAACAAGAGGAACAGAAGCTGAGTATTACAGCTCCTCTCACAAGCCGCTGGCAACTGATGAGACTCAAGACGCTGCGGAATTTGCCGTCACTTTGTACCCGATGCAAATCCGAACTTTCATTATCAAGATTAAATAATTCCTTATCGATGTATCAACTTAACTTGTTTGTGGTCGATATAAAAATTATGTAAAAAAATACATTTTTAAAACATGAAACAAATATGAATCAAACATGGAAGAGGTCCGGGAACTTAAAAAAACCCTAAAAAAACAGTCGATGGCCTCGACTGTTATGTAGCCGTTACTCAGCTAACGGGAGTGCAAGATGGATGGAGATATGCTAGAAGCGAATCGGTTGTTTTTACAAACAGGCCACCAAGACTATAGTCCCACCTAGCCTAAATAGCCTATAGCGCTACTTAGCCTATAGTGCCTCCTAGCAGTTCTGCTTGCGGGCTAGACGGGTTCTAGCGTTTGGTCGTGAGTGGATGTTAGATTGGGTGTGGCTATCTGCTAAAAACAAACTTGTGCAGGAAGCCCAAGAATCTGCTTGCTTAATCCCAAAATTCTAGAGCTTATAGTTTCCGAGATCCAAACGTTCATACTGAAGGACAGACAGACGGGCATGGCTAGATCGACTCGGCTAGTGATCCTGATCAAAATATGTATACTTTATAAGGCCTGTTACATACTTTTCGAAGAATCTAGTATACGAGTACGTTTTTACTTTGCGAGTAACGGGTATAACAATCTAGTTCGCGCATCTTTTAAGTAATCTAGTATCGATCTACATGTGCAGACCTCTGTTGTACACTGCTAGTGTGGAGGAAAAGTGTGGACAGAGCAAAGTCTTTTTATATGCTTCTAATTTTCTGTTATTGGTAAATAGGTACTTCAGGATTTGGGAAAAAGGTAGTTTTGAATCAAATAAAAATCGATTTAATCAGAGTTACAACATTAAAATTTGGCTTTTCTGGCCAAAAGCGGTTCAGTTTTTTTTTGGTTTTTATTTTTAAACCGGAGTGGGGAAGATCATGGATATATACCTATAATATACCTATAATATACCTATAATATCTTTATCGTAGTCTTGGAATGGTGGCCGTACTTAGAAAAGCAGTAGTTACCATTCTTGAATTAGTTTATGAGTTTCGCTAATTGGTAATTAAGTTACCTTATCACAGTGACCGTCTTGTACTTTCTTATCACATTGTACATCCAAACTCGCTGCCTATAAAGCAGCAGTCTTGGGTAAAAAAAAGTCAGTACTTGGTCATGACATATGATGACATATCTCGGTCGCATTTTTCTTTTGGCCACCTTGCTGGTGGTCTTTGTACAACAATCCGAATCAGCTTGTGGCTATGAGGTGAGACATATCTGTTGATTTGGATTAAATTTCTAAAATGTCTTTTGCAGTCGTGTCCGGCAACCAAAGCGAACATGGTTAACATTCACTTGGTGCCTCACTCCCACAACGATGTGGGCTGGCTAAAGACGGTTGATCAGTCGTACTATGGTTACAAGAATAAAATTCATCATGCTGGTGTGCAATACATTTTGGATAACGTTGTGGTTCAGCTACTCCAGGATTCCAAGCGTCGCTTCATTCAGGTGGAGACAGCCTTCTTTGCAAGGTGGTGGAATGACCAGTCGGAAGCAATGAAAATGGTGGTCAGAAAGTTGGTCAATGAAGGACGTTTCGAGTTCACCGGCGGTGCTTGGAGTATGAACGATGAGGCCGATGTTAATTATCAGGGAGTGATTGACCAATTTACAGTGGGATTGAAGTGAGTAATTGGGAAGGTATATTTTTCGGTGGTGTTTTATAAACTGACATGATTAGGTTCCTTAACGAGACTTTCGGCGCCTGTGCTCGTCCTCGAGTTGGCTGGCAGATTGATACTTTTGGACACTCACGGGAGCAAGCTGCAATATTCGCCCACATGGGGTACGATGGCCAGTTCTTTTCCCGAATGGATCATAATGACAAGGACACTCGCATGAGTAACTTGACAATGGAGATGATTTGGGATGCCAGTGAATCGATGAGTGGAGTCCATCTCTTCAGTGGCATGTTGTACAATTTCTACTCGGACACTCCTGGTTTCTGCTTCGATATACTTTGCACTGATGAACCTATTATCGATGGCGATAGCGAAGAAAACAATGTAATAGACAGGGTAGATGACTTCATTACCTATGCGAAAAATATGTCAGAGGTCTACATTACTAACCACATCATGGTCCCTATGGGCGGAGATTTCCAGTACGAGGATGCTAGAGTCAACTACAAAAATATGGACAAGTTGATCAAGTAAATGTGGGTAAAAGTAAAAAGTCAATGACTACTATTTTGCTTTTTAATAGGTATATAAACGAACGCCAGGCATCTGGATCCAATTACAACATCCTCTACTCCACCCCGAGCTGCTACCTAAATTCCCTGCACCAGAGCATGCAGTCCTGGCCAACCAAAAAAAATGACTTCTTCCCATATGCCCATGAGAAGAATAGTTTTTGGACAGGATTTTTTACTTCGCGACCTACCCAGAAACGATTTGAGCGGGATGGGAATCACATGTTACAGGTGGCCAAGCAGCTATCAGTACTCGCGAATCTTAAAAGTAAACAGCACAACAAATATTTGGACAATTTGCGACAGACTATGGGAGTAATGCAACATCACGATGCCATCACGGGCACTGAGAAACAAGCTGTCTCGGATGACTACGATCGAATAATGTACGACGCCATTATTGGAGCATCTAACAATGCCCGCGATGCTCTGCGCATTCTCACCGACATGCCCAATGGAGAATTTGAGAGTTGCCTAAGGTTGAACATCAGTGAGTGTGCTTTTACCAAGGACGGAGATGACAACGTGGTCGTGACCTTGTATAACCCACTGGCTCATAGCTCCAATCAGTATGTTCGCATACCCGTGAAGGAGGAGAACTATGAAATCACTGATGCAAAAGGCAAAACGGTTCCTTCTGAAGTAGTTCCAGTGGCCAACCAGGTATTGGCCTTAGAATACCGACCGAATGACACGCAACACGAGTTAGTTTTCAAGGCAACAGTGAATAAAATCGCCAGTTACCATATCAAAAAGGTTGAGGGCAATTCGACATTCCGCATAAAGAAGATTAGCCAGCGAGAAAGTTATAATTCCGAGACTGTTGTTGAAAATTCAGTAAGTCTATATAAATAAGTGGTAAAAAAATGTCTAATTTATATAATATCACTCCCACAGCTCGTCAAACTGGTAATTGACAACCAAACAGGACGCTTAAAGTCAGTTGAGATGAACGGTGTGTCTGAGAAAATTGTCCAGAACTTTGGCGTTTACAAGACTCACACTTCTTGTGCATATACATTTCGTCAAGATGGGGATATTGAGATTTTTGAGAATGATTTCGAATTCACAGTTTACGAAGGAACTTTGGTCAGGGAAATCCACCAGCGGGTAAACGATTGGATCTCGCAAGTGATCCGCATTTACGAGGATGTCAATCGGGTGGAGTTTGAATGGTTGGTAGGACCAATTTCCGTCGACGATAATCTGGGTAGGGAGATTGTCACAAACTTTAAGAGTCAAATTTCTTCGAAGGGAGTGTTCTACACCGATTCTAATGGCCGTGAGTTAATGAAACGCGAGAAGAATAAGCGTGAGGACTTTGTTTCCGATTTGAGTCTCCAACCTGTGAGCGGTAACTTTTATCCAGTCACATCCAGAATAGCTTTACAAGATGAGAGCAAGAGATTGGTTCTACTGACTGATCGTTCCCAGGGAGGAGCCAGCTTAGAGGATGGCGCCTTAGAGATGCTAATTCATCGCCGCCATCTTTTCAACGATGGTGGTGGTGTGGGCGAAGCTCTCAATGAGATGCAGTATGGCAAAGGGCTAATCGCCCGAGGAAAGTTATACTTGGTACTTGATTCTGTGCAAGATGGAGGTACCGTTATGGAACGTAAGGCAGAAAAAGAGCTCTTCCTTCCTTTCTGGAAGTTCTTCAGCAGGGCTAGTGAAATCGGCAAGGATACGAGCAAAACTATAACCGCCTTGGGTGATCTTCCGCTGTCGATTCATCTGCTCACCCTGGAGCCCTTTACTGACAATGAAATTTTACTACGATTTGAAAACTTCTTGGACAAATATGAGGGAACAGTAGTTAGCTTCAACGTGCGTGAAATATTCGACAGTCTGGGTGGCTCGGCGATTAGAGAAACCGCCTTGGATGGGAACATGCCACTGGACGATATGAAGCGATTCAAGTTCCATGCCCAGGAATCCGGATACAGCCCATCAGCCGTGGAATTCTTAAGGGCTCAGCATAAATCACTTAAAGCTGACAAATCCGATGAAGCTTCGCAGTTTATTGTCACTTTATATCCTATGCAAATTCGGACATTTATTATTGAAACCGATTAAGGACAGGAAATAAAAACACATTACTACCGATTATGACTAAGTTTACATTTCTTGGGTTCATAGTCATTTTCCGCCACTTTTGCAAGTGTGGGCTTTCACTTTTATTGGAGATTAGAACTCAATTCACTGTATTTTTGAAAAACTTAAGTGGCTCGATGTCGTAAAATTATCTTTATCTTTAAGTGGACAATCCTCAATTAAAATCCATTTAAGTAATAAAGATCGAGTAATAAGAACTGCAATTGGTGCCGAATTCCTGATAAGCTTATGTGTACAATAAGATTATGTTACCAAAACTGAAGCACTGCATGTGGTCCGAATAAAACGCAACGCACTTACCCTTTGAAACTCTTGGCTGGTTTTAAGGTAATTGACTCGTACAAATTAAAAAGTTCTGAAGTGCTGATTACTTATCAGATAACCCCCATTGTGATGTTTATAAAAGTGAAAACATTTTTATAAAGTCCGTTTTTAGTCTGTTGTTAGGGGTTCAAGAATTCTTAAAAATGGCTCATTTTAAGGCGTTGTCCATCTTGTTGGTATTTTCTCCCTTCCACAATATCCAATCTGAGGCTGTCTGTGGCTATGAGGTAAGTGAAGTCGTGTCCTTAAACAAAGTCGAATATGATCAATATTCACTTGGTGTCCCATCTCATGACGATTTGGGCTGGCTAAAAACGGTCGATCAGTAGTATTATGGCAGTTAACACAA